AAATGATGTTCATATAACGAATGCCAATGTTTGCATGTTCTCACGTCTTATTAAAGTGAAATTAAAAGAAAGAGAGAGATAGACAGAGAGGAGATGAAGAGAGAGAGAGAGAGAGAGAGAGAGAGAGAAGAGAGAGAAAGAGAGACAGAGAGTAGAGAGAAAGAGAGAGAGAGAGAGAGAGACAGAGACCGAGAGAGAAGGGGAGCGAGAGACAGACAGACAGACAAACCGACAGATTGAGAGGAAAAAATGAAAAGGAAAGTCACGTATTTTCTTGCCAATTGCGATGTGAAATGAACACGTTCCGACATGTTCTGACGATTTTCCAAACTGTGTGATTTTCATTACGAAAAAAGAAAAGAAGAAAAAAAATCATGACTGCCTAATTTTCCTCGAGATATCTTCCTTTCTGTTTATTTTTCATTAAGAAAAGTCCAATTTTCCTTTAGGGGAATTCGAGACTCTTGATACCCTTATGAAAAGTAATTCCATTCACTATAATTTTCCTGCAGACGAATTCCAGACTGCTTGATCTTCCTTAAGACAAAAAAAAAAAAGATCCAGACTGCTTAATTCTGCTTGATTTTCCTCAAGATAAATTCCAGACAACTTGATTTTCCTTCCTAGGAATTCCTGCGTGCTTGCTTTTCCTTAGGGACTCCCGCTGGCATTTAAAGAGAGAGAGAGGGAGAAAAAAAAGTTTATCCTAAAGTCATCAGTCTCTCTCATTAAAAGGCTCGAATCCAGCGCCTCCTGCACGGTGAGGAACGCGGGTTCATTGTCTCGGTGGAAATCAGTGCTTAATCTCATCGGTTTTCCGCGTTCCCTTCGCCCCTTCTTCGTTCCTTGCGTCGTGTCGCCCGTTCCCGTTTTGGCTCATTTCGTTTGTCACTCGTCGCTGCCTTTGTCCCGGTTCCTTTGGCTGGGGTGTGTCCTTCTGGACTGAGAGGTGGAGATGAGGGAGGGAGGGTGTGTGTGTGTGTGTGTGTGTGTGTGTGTGTGTTTTGTGTTAGTATATATGTATTTGTGTATCTTGTTTTATTGTATATGTATGGGTTATGTCAGTGTGTGTTGTGTCAGTGTATGTGTTTGTATTTTTATTGTATGTGCGTGCATGTTTATTAGTGCGTCTGTATGTCTATACAAACGCACATTCACCTAGAAAATTAAAACGTCAGTGCATAATTTTCTGTTCTCTGAATCGTATCAATAAAGCTACACGACACCCATTTCCCATCGTATTAGAGATCTCTCGCTCCTAATACTTATCATTCTCTCCCTACCCCTTTCGTCTATGTATCAGATACTTCACATTCCTACCTTTTTTCTTCTGTCAGTGCATCAACTTATCATTATTACTCTTTTTCGTCTATGTATCATATACTCACCATTCTTACTTTTTCGTCTACGTATGAGATACTTATCCCTACTCTTTTCGTCTTAGAACCAGATACCATCCCCACTCTTCGCTCATGTCTCAGATACTCATCAACTTCCACCTCTTTTCGTCTTCAAATCAGACAGTTAAAATTCTCCCCCTCTCTTCCCTTCACAGCCTAGGATACGCGGTGTTGATAAGCATAGGCCTGTCCCGCCTAGGCCGACTTCGAGCGCCCTGTCTTCTCCTGCTGTTGGTGGTCTTTTCCATCAGGACAGTGCAGAGGAACCGTGACTGGGAGAGCAGAGAAACGCTGTTCGTGTAAGTCTGGCTTTGTCCTTTCTTTGTGGTTGATAAGTTGGTTTCAGGAATTCGATGATTGTAAATAACGTGGTTGTTAGTTGAGAAATTCGATGATTGTAAATAACTTTTTGTGGTAAGTTGGTTCAAATTCGATGATTGTAAATAACTTTCTTTGTGGTTGTTAAGTTGGTTTCAGAATTCGATGATTGTAAATAACTTTCTTTGTGGTTGTTAAGTTGGTTTCAGGAATTCGATTGTTGTAAATAATTTTGAACGATATTAGGATGATAAACAAATACGTAAATAGGTGTGTGAATATATGTATTGAGTAATGAAGAGGTAATAGAGTTGATTCACTGATTAGTAGAGAGTAGATAGACAAACAAGTAGATAGGTAAATAAATAAATGAATACATAAGTCAATAAATAAAAGAATAAAAGACAGATCAAACAAAACTGAAATCAAAGCCATTTATCCCTATAAAATAATGAAAACAAAAATAGAATGAATCTATTCTAAACCACCATTTTTCTGGTAACTCTTTTTTTCCCCATTTCTATTTGGTTTTTTCTCACCTCCATTTCCAGCGCCGGCCTGCGGACCTTGCCCCACAACGCAAAGATGCACTATAACTACGCCAACCTGCAGAAGGACCTTGGCAACACGAATTTAGCCAAGTACCATTATGAAGAAGCAATAAGGTAAGAGAGAGAGAGATTGTTTTTGTTTGTTAGAAATGATAGGTCGGTAGAAAGATTGGTTGATAGATGGATAGGTGGATAAATAGATAGATAGATGGATAGATAGATAGGTGAATA